ATTACCTCTACCTAAACCTGAATGTAATAAAACAGTTTATTTCATAAAGGAGCATTTGATAGTTGGAAAAGCTTCAACACTGCATTTATTTTAACAAAATACCATACAGAATTTGCAGCCTATTTTTTGCAATATAAAATTTTGTTTATTTTCTATTGTTTTTTTTTCTCTTTGCAAATTTATTTGTCTAATTAGCAAATCAAATTTAATTGTTTCATGATTTTTTTTGTATATTGTTATAAAATTGAATTGTGGAAATAAACATTGAACATTAGAACATTTATAACAATATTTTGTAGGGTAGGTATAGCAATATTTAAAAATGTTTTCTCATTTGTTTGTAATCAAATTTTAACTTGTATATTTATCTTTAGGTGATCAAGTAAAAGCAAAGTTCAACCACATGAGAGACAGCTTCCGAAAAAATTTAGAAAAGATTCGAAAATCAACACGTAGTGGAGCAGCAGCAGTTTTTGTGAAGCCCTATAAATGGTCGAAACAACTCCAGTTTTTAATACCTCATTTACAACCCAGAAAGTAAGTATGATTGATTTTTTTATGATTGATTTTTTTTTTTACTTATCATCAATTGTTAATAGTGATAATATTTTTACTTATCATCAATTGTTAATAGTGATAATATCTTAATAAGAAAAGATTAAAAATAAGTATAATCCTTGTGTGTTTGATGCAGGAGCTATAGCAACATCCAAGAGTGTTCCCCTGCAACAGAGATATTGTCCAAAATGTGCAATCCAGATGAGGCCAATGCTCAAATTGAACTATATCCAGAATCAAATGATGATGACCTATATGATACCACAGAGGAAGTGATAGAAAACACAGGTAAAAATGAACAATGTAATTAAACTGTTCCCTTGTAACATTGATATAATAATAATAATAATAATTGTACAGTATGGTAATAGTACAGCAATGCACTAATGTATAGTTTAGTAATAAAAACATTAGGTGTATTGATTAGGCCTACACACACACACCAAAAAAAAAAACAATGATTATGAAGAGATGTACTCAGGGCCGCTGTGAAATTTTCGCTGCCCGGGCTTATTGGTTGGGGTAAGGGACCGGCTAGGCCCCCAGCAGAATCAAGTGGCACATCCCTGGTGCGCCCCGAGCCCCCCAGAAGAATCAAGTGGGACATCCCTGGTGCGCCCCCCCCCCCCCCACTGGAAGCTACAGCCTTTTATTAGATTAGAGGACTAATTTAATTGATTAAAGAGTGAATTTCATCAG